GGGTTTAGCCATTACGGTCTCGAGGTAGATCAACTCTGTAACCCCTATACCCATCGAATATAATCAAGAAGGAGTAGGGTTTTACCTCCATTAAGAAGGCCCGAACCTAGGTGAACACTGTGTCCCTTTGATCATTGTTTCCACCGATCCTCAGACATACAGCTTGGGGCCCCCTACACGAGACCTGTCGGTTTTGACACCGACAGTTAGGCACAGAAAAAATTTCTAGCTGAATGGGTAAAGTATCAAGCTAGGCTAAAGAGGAAAACTGAGAAAACTGTAGCTGAAGGAGATGCCAAATTGTCTTCTCTACCTGAATAAAATCATGCTGCATTTTCTTCAGAACCCAAACATAAGCAAAAGAAGCCTATTTCTAAGCCAAAAGCATTATTACAAATTGCTACTGTCTCAAAGTCTTCGGTACCAAAAACTTTAGTTCCTAAGTTTTCTACTACAAAGGCTTTTATGGACAAGTGTACAACATCTAAAGCTACAACTAGTGTGCCTCCTAAAGCCGGTGCACAAATCGAAAATGAATCCAGCAACACACCTATTACTTCTCCTCACTAGAATGTCAAAAAGGCTGCTCTTTGAGGAAATTTGCCTGGCATGCAAGACCATTCTCAAAAAACTAATGATGGTGAAGACTGACACTCTAGTTGCAATTGTTGCAAATGGGAAACACCAGGCTACTAAACCAAAAGGATCTCAAATTCCACTTATTTTGGATCTGTAGCTAATCTTAACTTGGTATTGAGAGTTAAATCTCAGCCCCTCCAACCAAACGTAGAGTTGTTACAACAACTTGAACTGGTGCAACAAATCGATTGTCTTCTCCTAGCAACTGGTTCCATATTAACCACTTCAATTTACTTTGAGTAATTTGCATGCTCTGAAGAATTTGATCCTTCCCATTTTGAAGACTTTGCTATTTTTGCTGCGTTTACTAATGCCATGTTTTACTTCAATGTTCTTGTGATGAAATGTATGTATCATGTATTTGTCTAGTTTACTTGTTTCATTCATCACTTGCATGCTTTACTCTGTCCCGGAGACTTTGAATGCATGGTCAACTTAGTTTTTCTATAGTCTGCTATAAGTTCCTTCTTGTTTAGTTTGATGTTTTTTCTAAGAATTAGCTTCTTTCAAAGATTTTCTTGAAAATGTACCAATAGCCCCTCTGGTCGATTAAATGCTTTTCAGGTAGCCAAGGTAAGCTTTTAAAGCTTATATACAACTCTCTAACCTTCTTGTTGTAGATATATGAGGAGACATGCTCACCACGCTCGATGCATCAGATCTCGCTTAAGAGCGGGGACCTATTTACTTATATGATGTCGATGCACCATAAGCGGGTACGACTCCGACTGATTTTTTTGTAAGAACATTAAATTTTTCATCCATAGGCCCTTGGACCAATCCCTTGTCACATTTTTTTTGCTAACTTACCAAGTTTATGAACAACCTTATTTGCTTCCCTATTACAATGTTCAAACCTAGTAAGAGGAAAATCACATGTCATAAAAATAGCAATAATCATAGAATACTGTCGTCGCCGCTCCCGCAGATTGTCCCCCATTCTTCATTGTATTAATGAGTTCCATATTATCGGATTTAATAATAAGATGATTGCATCCCGCCTTCTATGCAAGAAATAAGCCAAACCTCAGAGCCAATGCTTTTGCTGTCAATACATCAGCATACCAATCAATCTTCCAATTTCCGCCAGCAATGAATCATCCTTTGTCGTGTATGAGGACAGACCAAACTGTGTCCCTAAGCAGATCATGATCAAAAGAAGCATCAACATTCAACTTAACAAAACCCATAGGAGATCTGCTCCATCCCCATGTTTACTAGTTGCACTAGGGGAGTGGGCATTAACATAATTTGTCGTTATAGCACGAACCCCTATTGAAGTTTGGTATACATCTTGAACCTTTCCTTCATGAACTAGCTTACGTCTATCCACCATAAATACCAAGTGATTATAATAATCAATTCACATGCATTCTAGAGGCCCAATATAGATAGTTACTGATTTGGACTAAGAAGTAAGAATACAAGTACCGCCTCTTCCGCACGATCAATAGCGCAAGCTTTATTAATCACCTCGTACATCCCCAACTTATCCCAAACCTAATTCTACTCCCGACAAAGCAACAACATGTGTTTTGTATCTTCTGGCCCATTCGAGCATGATGGGCAGATGGGCGAAACTTTCATGTGTCTATTGGTAAGCGTAACACGGCACTTGAGGGTTCCATGCAACATACACCAAATGATTTTTTTTACCTTTGTCGAACAAGATAATTTCCAAATCTTACACCAAATAGGATTGACACTGATTCTAGCCATACCATTTGTATATTGCAATTTCCTCCCATGTTGTTGGTTCCATTCCTCCAAACAGTGAACAAACCATTTTTTGTATAGCTCCAAGCAATGAAATCTGACATATTATGCATAGGGATGGGTATCATGAGAATCCTTTGAGCATCAATTGGCCACAATGTTTGTGTCACCAAATATTCATCCCAAAAACTTGTGACTAGATCGATAAGATTAGAAACCTTAGACAGAAGATGCCCTCTTCTAGGAGTAACAAATTTCCTATTCGCACAGTTTGGGATCCATGCATCTCTCCAAATATCGATATTTTTTCCATTTCCAACTCGCCAGATATAATCATTTTTCGGAGAGTGAACACCAGCCATAATGCTTTGCCAAGTAAAAGTGGAGCCCTTTTTTAAACCTGCATTCATCAAATCGCCCCTCGGGGACTCCGACTGAACTTCCTATGAAGTGCTCCAAACTTCGATCGGAGGTGATGCCAATTACTCCTGGGGTCGATATCCCTTGGGGATCCGGGTGGACAAATGGAGCATCGGAGCCTATCTACATGGCTATAAAGGAAGCGCTGCCTGGGAGGCAACTCGGATGCTAGTAAACTTCTTTCTTAATTTTATGTTTTTGGGTTTAGTTGCATTCATGATTGCATTGACACCTTTCATTTTTGCATGAGTTGGTATTAGTCTATTAGATAAGGTTTTGCACTAACCTTCAAAGCTGAAATTTTAATGTATCGGTTGCCTCGATTTTTTTGCACACCTCCTTGTATTTTTGTTGCAAATATATCATCTAGTTGACATGAGGAGGAAGCACAATTGTTTTCATGAAGTTATGCAGTTTGAGAAGGAAAGATGTGGTGCAAAACAACCACATGAGGTTGTACCAAAGGAGGCCGCGCAAAGAGCAACCCTTGCAGAAGAGAAGACATGATACGGTATGCGCATTCTAGCTCGTACCAAAGGATGCCACACAAAAGAGCAACCCTCACATAAGAGAAGACGGGATGTAGTATGAGCATCCACGCTCGCAGCTGTGCTCGCATCCGAACTCAGCTACACAACTCAAACTTACCAGGAGAGAAGACGAGGTGCGGTACGAGCATCCTTTTTCGTACCCTCACTCGTAGTGGAGGGCGACACTGAGCACCGTGAGTCCAGAAAAGAAGGCGATGCATGTTACGACTGTAGCCGGTCGTACCGAAGCGATAAGCCCATCATTTTATTTATTTCAACAATATGAGGTCAGAGGGTTACTTTTGACCGGTCGTTTGCACTTTAACCTCCATTAATTACATTTGAAGCTCCTTACCCTATAATTCATTGTATTATATGTATTTTATTTTATTATCTTTACTTAATTGTGTATACGAGTTAGTATACCAGTATTTTTATGTGTATGATATTTAGACCTTATGTGGTAATGTATATTGTTTGGTCGATGCCAGCTGTATAAATATCCGCACAAGCCATTCGGTTGCTTCAAATCAAGAAACTCTAGCCACAAGTGCCAATGAAAATTATTGGGAGGGCCCCTCCTCTATCCGCCTCTGCAAACACCATAAAGTGTATACAACGAAATGCAGATGTGCAAAAGGGAAGAGATGACAAACGCGGCTATTCAACGCCGGGCTCAAATGAGCCCGAGTGTGAATAGTAAATCCATTTTAAATAGAAAAAAGTTTAAAAAAAATCCAAATTATTCTGTGGTGCAAGATGTTCATGTGTGATGCGCGTGCAAAATTTGGACATTCAAGGACCTTGTGGCAAAAAAATGTTATTTTTGAATGTCTGGGAAATTTTGAAAACATCATTGTTCACACCCAATTTTATGTTTTTTGCCACCAGCACTTCGAATGTCCAAACACTCCAAAAATATGCAAAAACATCACACATTAGAGCATCTTGCATAAAAAAATCATCAGATTTTTTTACCTTTTCTGCTATTTTATTTTATTTTTACTATTCACCGGTGTAGATAAGCCCGACACCGAATTGAATTACTGAGGAATGACTACATGAGCACGAGGCACCACCGCACCAGTACAAGTACAAGGAGGCATGCTTGTTGGTTAGCAAACTCCCCAAAGGAGATTAGTATTATTATTTCAAACGATTGTAAGGCCCTGGTTGATTAAATGATATGCTTTCCGCCGCAAAAAGAAAAAGTACAAGGAGGCATGCAGCATGGCGTCCATGCATGCTGCTAGATGACGTGTACCCTTGAGCGGTTCAGCCTGTTCATCCTCTCCAAAGGGAAATAAAAAAAATGTCCACGTGCATCGAACCGGACAATAGGCCAGCCCACTGCCCATGCCATCACGTTTCATGCAGCGGGGGAATATTTTACGGGGACATCGCAAATTTCGCATCTAACCCACCGGTAGCCGAGAATTACAACCTTGAACAGGGAAAATCCTTGCAAGCCATATTTTGAAGAAGAATCATGCAGACAACCTTTTCTTTTCTTGACAAAAAAACCACAAATCCACAATGAATCATCAATCGTTGAAGATGGCTACATGAAGTTTACTACACACACAGACAGAAAAAGCGACCAGGACCTAGAACAAGAAGCCGTGTTTCACTTTTCTTCATCGGAACAACACCCGAAATAAGGCCGAAAATATTGACCTCGGAGAAAAAAAATACATGGCAGGGTCCTACATCGAAATTGAGCAAACCTCAGTGTCCTTATCGGTAAAAGCTTCGAGTCGCGTTAATCCAAAGCGGTTCATAAGAAACGCACATCCGCCTCCCCTGTTTCTCCAGCTTCGAGGTATTCCAACCAGAGCAGAGAGAGCAGGGCGCGAGAGGCTGCAAGCGGCCGCCGCCATGGAGAACGAGTTCCAGGTACGGGGATCCCTCCTTCCCAGTCCTATTTCGAGCTCGTGTTTCGGCCCTAGGATTTAGAGGGGTCGCTGCGTCTAGAAAGAGAAAGATTCCTCGTTTCGGGGCGCGATTCGTCAAGGTTTTCCTTGATTTTGATCTGCTCGGTACAAGGGTTTGGGTAGGAATAGGCGATTGAAGTGTATGTATAGTCGAACGCAAGAAGAAGGGACTGGGATTTCCTCCCACCAGAGATTGGGGGTTAGCAGATTTTAGGATGGAGACCATACATGTGAATCTTCAGATTACTAGACTAGATTAGATGTATGCTCTTCAATTAATCGATTTTCCGGCCCAGATTTGAAACTTGGAGATTCAGATGTGTAGCATGAGTTGCTCATCAGTCTTCCTTCCCCTGTTGGAGTATACCAGTACCCACACATGAACATATTGAAATGGAAAAACCTTCAGTGATGTGAACGTAAAGCTTTTAGCAAAGCTGCTTTAAATAGTCATAGAGAGTTCTGCACCAGCACTGTAACATACAAGTCTTTCCACCCGAGATACTAGTAGTAAGTAGGGAGGAAGGCCTCTTCAAACTTGCTGGCACTTGGGTGTTTGATGTAGTCTCATACAAGAACTGTATGAATACTGGTTTAGCCATTTCCCATTACATCCACTTGTTGTAGAGTTGTTGTTCCAGGTGCAGGATGAAGCTTGTCAATTGTCAATCTGTCTAGTGCGTTGTAAATTACGTTGATTTTGCAACCAAGTCGGCTGCTGTTACGAGAAATTCCATTATTGCTGAGGCTGCGACTACCACTGCATAGACAGAAGAGAAGTAGTAAATCACATGGTCTGTAAGAACATAGACCTGTACCACACGCCAAATCCTCTGTATCTATCTATGTGTTACCCCTCCCCCAACCCCACCCCCACCCAAAACGCAAGGCTGTTTTACAGGAGTAAAAACTTATGATCTGTAGACTTCTGCAGCTAGGTGTACTGAAGGAAGGTCCATGTAAACCATTGTACTCATACAGTTGTTTACAGCTAATTCATGTTATAATTAACTTCCTGCATAATTATAATACAATATCTCTTACTTAGGATGGCAAGGAGGAGGTCATCCAAGCATGGTACATGGATGACAGTGAGGAGGACCAGAGGCTTCCTCATCACCGTGAGCCCAAAGAGTTCATTCCTCTTGCCAAACTTTCAGGTCTGTGCATTTGCTGCTCAAATCACTTACTCTTGTCTGTTTTGAACTGTAGTCAAATAGTGCTGGTAAACCTGCTGGATGCTAAAAATTGTGCATATTATAAATGCCCAGAATTGGGTGTTGTAAGCTGGAACCTGAATGCTGATGACTGGGAGAAAGACGAGAATCTCAAGAAAATCCGTGAGGCCAGGGGATACTCTTATGTGGTTTGTCATCGATCCTTTTTGGCTACTTACTGTTGTGTGTTCCCATTTTGATTGGCAAGCGTAAAACGTGTGCAAGTAGTAGAAACAAACATGTGTGACAGACATATTCTGTTTTCCCTCTTGCAGGACATTTGCGACGTATGTCCAGAGAAGTTGCCAAACTATGAGGCCAAGCTGAAGAACTTCTTTGAAGAGCACTTGCATACTGATGAAGAGATACGCTATTGTCTCGAGGGCAGTGGTAGGCGCCTTCTTTATCTTTTTTGAGGCATTTTGGATGAGAAAGCTATAAACTGTTTTATTTCCAGTAATAATCATGGTGACATTCCTTTTTTAACGCGATTTACCTATTTGTTTTCTTATATTGTCCAGGATACTTTGATGTGAGGGATTATGGTGACATTCCTTTTTTAACGCGATTTACCTATTTGTTTTCTTATATTGTCCAGGATACTTTGATGTGAGGGACCAAAACGAACAGTGGATCCGTATAGCAGTTAAGAAAGGTGGCATGATTGTTTTGCCTGCAGGAATGTATCACCGCTTTACATTGGATAGTGACAACTACATCAAGGTATCTTTTAACTTTCTGCTTTTGCTCCCACCATGAAGTGTTGGTCTCCTTAAGACTTGTATATACTGAATGAATTAAAATGACTGAACTCTGTATTACTTGCGTGTAATTTACTTTTGTGAATGAATCAGTGATAGCTTTCAATAATTTGAATTCGACAACAGTGTTACTTATCTTTAGTCTCACTGCACGTAATTCGAAACAGTACTTATCTTTTTAGTTTTTACAACAACATTTACTGCTGTGTCTTGTACCATCTCTGTGAAGTTAACTACCAGCCGAGAGTCCTTTCATTGATCATATATTCATATCATAAAGATCTTTTCCTTTTCCGTACTCCACCCAATAAGGAACATCATTCTAAATATGGACCTCTGAAACTTATGTTTTTCTTACTATGTTGTGCAGGCAATGCGGCTCTTTGTGGGAGAGCCTATCTGGACGCCATACAATCGTCCCCATGACCATCTCCCAGCCAGGTACTTTCCAGAGTCTTCAGTTCTCTTCTCTGCGTTCATTACTCCATTTCCCTTATAATCTCCCACTATTCTCCCCCTTGCTCTTACCGGATGTGACTGCACATGATTTCAGAAAGGAGTACGTCGACAAGATTATCAACAGAGGTGGGAACCAAACCGTCGAAGCTCGTTGACGGCTTCTAGTGTTCGGCAGCGAGCGTGTCTTCTGTATGTATCTACATATCACACCAAAAGTTACTGAATAAGATGTGTGATTGGCTTTCGCCGTGTGCTCGTACCAGCATCGATCCTGTATCACTTGTGTGGTTAGTTTGCAACATACCCGTTCGAAAATCTTTGCTGAAACTTCTTCGCCTGGCGATGATGCCTGTATTGAATAATAATGATCCAGTGTCAGCAATGGTGTGACGAAAACATATTCATGTTCGTCTAAATCCCTGAGAAATGCTGCGTAATAATTGCTGAAAGCCATGCCTGTGTTCATGATCAATCCCCTACCTGATCTCGCGTTAATACGTTTCGTGTCTCACCTGCTGACCTTGTCCCGTCGTATTCAGAGGGACTACTAAATCTTGGCAATTGTACTGTGATAAGTTAGTTTGTCCACACGTCTATAAACACTCTTATTGCTGTGGGCTGTACGGAGAAGGGAAGCTGCTAGAGCAAATTGTACTGTGAGTTGTACTATGAGAGTGACTGAACATGTTTCTGTCCATTCCTAGAGCCGACTTCCGGCACTGGTTTCCGGTCCCCTCCGTCAAGAACAGCTGCCAAATGTACTCCAATGAACTATCATCATCATGTCTCTTGAGGCTGTTTGGTTTGGTGCCAATATTTGGCATGTCAATGTGTTGACCAAGTCTAAAAACTTAGCTATCAATTCGTTGGCTGCCAAATTTTCTGGCCAATCTCTAGAAAAGTCGCCAACTTCTACCAATTGTTGGCTTGCCAAAATGCCAAATATTGGCATCAAATCGAGTAGCCTCGTAAGAAGAAAAACTTAATTTGGGCATGAAAGAAGAAAAACACCCAGCTCCAGCAGATGCATATATGGTGACGTGGTTTAAGAAGAAGTTAGAGATTCCTAATAATGAGTTTCTATTTAGATAATTTGGGCATGAAAGAAGAAAAAAACCAGCTCCAGCAGATGCCTATATGGTTATGTGGTTTAAGAAGAAGTTAGAGATTCCTAATAATGAAGATTGAAGGGTTTCTATTTAGATATACTAGTAGATTGGCTATCTATTTTTCTCACCAATCTCTAGAAAAGTTGCCAACTTTTACCAATTGTTAGCTTGCCAAAATACTGTGACCATGGACACCCGTTCGGACGGGCATCATCCAATCATATCTCTCAAATAAGGCGGACACGGAGACATCCAACCATATCCCTCAAAATAAGACGGACATAGAGGCATCTCGCCGGGCAGACATCATCCAAACCCATCGGAGCCCATCGATGTGGCCTCTTTGGTATTATCATCGTGCTCCTCCTCCTCCTCCTCCACGGCCTCGGCCTCGATCTCCTCGAAGAGCCAGCCACGTCGTGCTTCGTTGATGCGGAGTGTAGACCGTCCCGTTCATGTCAACATGCTCTAGGTTCCCGCGGTAGCGTCGGAACGGCGGTGACATCCCCGCGCTTCGCCTCTAGTTGTGCCACGACCATTGCGTTTGGAGGAGGAGGACGGGTTGTGAACTGGGAAGAGTGGGGCGGATTGTGAAAACGCACGGGCTCCAATTAAGTTTTGGATGGGTACGAGGTGTCAGACGCCAACGGTGGACGTCGTCTGAACTACCCTGGAGAGCTCCCCCGATTTGTCGCCGGCCTAAGGTTGTTTCAGACATCCAACCCAAAATGAAGGTCTGAATTGGAGGACTAAAAGTGTCCAGACCGTTCAATCCAGACAACACACAGGGGCAATTTGGTGAGCCGGGTTGAAGATGCCCTGATAATAAAGTGTACAAAATGAATGACGAAGCGATCATTTGAGGCATCATTCTACACAGAAAGCGACAAAATTGTGCAGATGCATCTCACCGTACCAACAAACAGAAAAATGACATGAGCACTACTTGAGAGGCGGCTCTTTTTTCCTTTTCCTTTCCAGAGAACACACGAAAAAGCCCGGGAAAAAGAGCAACTTATGTGTCCCAGGACGCCGAGTATCCGACCCAGAGTATCGGCTCACTGCAAGTTGCAGCCAATCACGAGCCCGGAAAAATGGCATATGAAATTTGTCGCCGTCGGCCGCCTGGCGCACCCGCGCGTCTGTCGACCGCCGATTGGTCGCCTCGCCCACTTGCGCCGCGCGCGACAACCTCAGCCACACCCGCACCAACCCGCCCGCGCTAGCTGCGACCCGGCCCCGGCGTCCAGAAGCTTCCGAGCCGGCCGGTCACGAACGCGCTGCCCAGAACCTTCCGTCTCATCCCCCGTCCCGTCGCGCTCGCTCCCGTACTCGGCAGGAGTATTTATCAGCGAGCACCGCCCACTTTCCCGCGGAAGGAAAGCAGCCAGCCAAAGACCACCTGCGTTGGGTGCCACTGTGCTAAGCAATTCTTTGGATTCTTCCGTTTGCGACAGGAGATCGCTGGTTGTTTGCTTGCTCGGCCACGAGGAGGGATGGACCGGGTGCTGCTGCCGGTGAGGGTGAAGGAGGAGTGGCCGCCGCCGCTGCCGGAGGAGGAGGAGTTGGAGCATGGGGGCCTGGCGCCGCGGCCGATGGAGGGGCTGCACGAGACTGGCCCGCCGCCGTTCCTGACCAAGACGTTCGACCTGGTGGCCAACCCGGCCACCGACGGCGTCGTCTCCTGGGGCCGCGCCGGGAACAGCTTCGTCGTCTGGGACCCGCACCTCTTCGCCGCCGTGCTGCTCCCGCGCTTCTTCAAGCACAGCAACTTCTCCAGCTTTGTCCGCCAGCTCAACACCTACGTGAGTCTCCCCTCTCCTGCTTGCCTTACTCAATCATTACTTGTTCAGTTAACCTGCACTTGCGAGTCGCTTGCTTGTGTCGCTGCAATCCCGATCTTGCATTTGTAGAACCAAGATTTTAGCCGAGTTGATTGAGCAAGAGATGAACGACAAATGACATGATGGAATGTCAAAGCAACATTTCGTGCTCGTCTTACAACTGTGGTGGTGACTATGGTAGTCACCATGAATATTGGTATGCATCTGATTCTGGAATAACATAAATCGTACAAAAACAAAAATATAAGGTGGTTTAGTTTGGCAACTGGGTACGAATTGTGAAAGAAGAGTTACGTTCATTCTTGAAAAGTGCACCCGCAAAAAATGAAGAGGAAGAGCGAGCTCTTTTACAGCTGTTCTCTGCATCAGCAGTAAGCGGTTCTATATGCCAGTGAACGACGGTACCGTGATTCTTATTGCTTTGTGTGAAACTTGAATATGTACAACTAATTACCAGCAAAGAAGCTGCAAACTAGAATTATTTGTTCTTGGCTCTGGTTTCAAGGGTGAACATAGCTTGAGCTCTTCAACAGACTACAATAACTATTATGGTACTAGTACAGTAACGGATAGCTAGGATTCTTTCAGTATCTCTGCCACTATCTGATCACGCAAAGTCAGGGTGAATCACTGGATTCAAAGGGAAATAGAGGTTGTTGCCAACCCTTTGGCAGAGGCATGTGCATGAAACCTTATTTCCTGAATTACTCTCTGTACTTCAGAACAAGGAGATGCTGGGGGACTGAATAGTCTGCATCTCCTTGGCGAACATATTTAATTTCTGACATACTCTTTCTCCAACTTCTTACTGTGTAGCTAGATGGATCAAGACACCGGCTGAAGCTACAAGAACCTGCTTATTTGTTCTAGAAGACTCCTTTCATCACCATCAAGCAATATAGTATACTACTACCTATTCTTCCACTGCTTATAAATTTGGGCATAACACTATGTGAAACCCACCATTTTATATTGTGTGAAGTATGCCATGTTAGTTGAGCTTTGCTGCTTGTGGCTTGTGAACTTGAGCTAACTGCAGTTGTTCTACTACTCTTTGTGCTTCTCGAAACTAAAATAAATATGTGACTTGTTCTGCAATCTGCAGGGTTTTAGAAAGATCGATCCAGACAGATGGGAATTCGCAAACGAGGGTTTCATTCGGGGCCAGAGACAGCTTCTAAAGATGATAAAGAGAAGGAGGTCATTGTCCTATCTCCCTTCATCACAGCAGCAGGCCCTTGGCTCTTGCCTCGAGGTCGGCCAGTTCGGATTCGACGAAGAAATCGAAGTGCTAAAGCGTGACAAGAACGCCTTACTCGCAGAGGTGGTGAAACTGAGGCAGGAGCAGCAGAGCAGCAGAGCTGACATGCGAGCCATGGAAGAGAGGCTGCACCGCGTCGAGCAGAAGCAGCTCCAGATGATGGGTTTCCTGGCAAGAGCGATACAGAACCCTGACTTCTTTCTCCAGTTGATCCAGCAACAAGATAAACTGAAGGACCTCGAGGACGGTTACCCGACGAAGAGGAGGAGGCCCATCGACGTAATGCCGTTCCTTGGCCCTGAGGGGACCAGTCAGAGTGAGCCACTCGAGTCCACATTCATATTTGAGGACAGGGAATTTTCAGAGCTGGAGAATTTAGCCATGAACATTCAGGGGATCAGGAAGGGCATGGAGCATGACAGAGGTGGTCGGAATCAGGGCTGCGGTGAGGCCGAGCTGACTGACGACTTCTGGGAGGAGCTGCTGAGTGAAGGAATGAGGGATGAAGCTGAGATTTTAGAGCTGGAAAGGAGGAGATCTAGATATGTCGACGCGTAGCGCAAAAGCTGGGTCATCTAAGTAAGAGCGATCCAAAATCTACTAGAATTCATAACCATTTAATATATATACCATTGTATTGATAGCTATATTGTATATTGTAGTGCAAATTTATAGTCATAGACTGATTGTATTGCGGTTCCACACCGATTATGTGGTTTATATCTAGTGGTATAAATACTGTCCCTGCACTCTCATCGACGGTTTCTTACTCTGATGATCTTAGTTCATACTCGGGCCTGCTGACTGAATTATTTTTCTGGGTTTGGAAGCTGGAACCGAAGCCTGTTGCCTAGTGTGCGTTGTAATCATTTAATCTGTATAACCATTGTATTGATACCTCTATTGTATATTGCAGTGCTAATTTATAGTGATATAATGGT